ACAGCATGTACCTTGTAAAAATCAGTAGGACAGGCCCTATGACCAAAACAAAGAAGGATGAAGATCGCACTAGCAATTTGCTTTAGTTTTATAATGGTGAAAACTACAGGGGATTGGAGCACTTAGATCTTGATCTTACATTTTCTTAGGAAAGACTTAAAAAAACCCCTCCTAAACACCAAAATACACATACAAAGAACTCCACCTAAAACCCCACAGCGTATTTGACTGTAGAAGATGGAATGTATTTGGCATGCATGGAATAAAAAAGTTGAATGGCTCTTCTATGCAAGTTACTGTTTTGGATTGCCAGAATTAGTTGGTTAATCACGTGATTATATGATCTGGGACAAGATCTTAAATATAGCTATGATGGCATTTAAACTTTCACTCTTCAGATGCAGTTTGAGTCATTCAGCTTTCATCACTTAAGCGGGATCATGATCTTTGAATATGGTAATACCTGCCTTTTTTTTTTCCCCACCAATTCCCATGAGCTCTATGCTTGCTACAGGGATGGCTTAGCTGGTGACAGCTATTCATATTTATAAAACCAAAGTGTTCCTTCTACTTCCACCATTCTTCCCTCTTCTTTTCTGAGCTTTCTTTGAAAAGAAGCAGGTCTCACTTTGCATTCATTCCCTTTTTGGCCTTCACCAACACTTCTGGCTAGAGGTACTTGAACTAGGTTGTGTACTTGACTCAGTCTGGCTGAACTGAGTCCTGCATGACTGAGCCTCTCAGGTACAGGTTGCAGTAAGCCTGATGGGTGTACCGTGCACATGCAAGTCATCTGCCCGCTGGAAATCTGTTAGACCATGTACTGGATTTACTACACACATGCTGCACAGCACATTTATAGCACATTGCTGTACAACTGATCTGTCTTACTGTGCTGGTCAGTATAAAGTTGCTCTAGTACTAAACTCATCTTTCTCTGGATATGTGGAGATCCAGTGGTCTGCACTGCTGGGCATCCAGTAGGTCAGTGTTCAAAGGCAGTAGAGTTAAAAGGACTGGAGCGTCACAAATGCTGTAAACACACACACAAAACCACCCTCTCAGCTCTTTTATTGTTAGTAGCTCACATGGGAGCGGCTGTCTGCCCATGCTTCCTTCTAGATCATGATACCTGTTGTTCAGAAGGCCATGGACCTCTCTGCCCTTTCCCTCCATCCCTCTGCTCTGCCGTTCTGTGTTCTTCACCAGAATTGTACTCCTCAGCAAAATCCTAGCTTGTGCACAAGACATTCCCCCCCCCGCCCCGAGCTTGAGCAAATTTTTTCAAGGGATTGAAGGTAGTTCCCACCTTCCCTCTCCTCACTCCTGGTAGCAGGCAGCAGTTCTATACAATACAGCAGTAAGTATTTAGATTTATTTGGTTTCATATTCTGCAGCTTCTTACATATGGTCTCAGTTTTCAGATATGACTTCTGTGAGGTACACTCAAGTACTTCCAAGCTTATTTATAGAATGCTAAATACTCACTAAAAACAACGGCCTCCTGTTTATCATTTGCTGATTTTATACTCACAATAGGAATTCAGGGACCCAATTTTGACAGGCATTATTTAATGAAGTATCAAACTGGGCTGAGAACAAGAATTCCCTCTAATTTAACCATACTGCCTCTTACTACCATGGAACATCCTTTCTTGAAGAACAGGGGGTTATCATATATTTTGTAGAATGCATTTAAAAACCATAAGGGTCTTTGGTTATCAGTACAAACCAAATAGCCTCTTAGATTTTGTAGATTAAGTAGGTAGGCATAGGCTAAGCAAAATGGGAGAACCAGCAGCAGACAGCATCATGAAGCTTAGTCTGTGCCATTATTAAACCAATGCCTGTGCTTGCTTTTGAGTTATCAACTAATGGCTTGAGGTACCTTTTCTTGGAATCAAGATCAAAGTTCTGATTATATATGGTCATTAACATTTTAATGCCTTTTTCTGACTTTTTTTTTTTTTTCAAGAGGGGGCATGTTACTCTTTGGATTTTGGC